GCGTGAAGAGCGCTTTAAGGTCTTCATCAACATACACCCTTAGCGCCGAAAACGCGTTTTAAGGTTGACTAAATTTCGATCCCTTGGCGTGAAGAGCGCTTTCAGATGGACTAAATATCGAGGCAACATGTTAACATTAGCGTGAGTTATATCATTGTATAAATATCATCTTACAATGTCACACATTAATCATTTTGAAGAACTAGTACACCAAAGCAGCCACACCCAATAAACTGCACACCAACTAGGTCATTTTCCGACTATCATCCCACTAGATTTAACCACGAGCCAATAAGTGTACATCAATACGGTCACCATCCGATCACACAACATGTAATTATTTAATTGCTAGTCATCAACCCGTGCACTCAGCTCGATTATTTTCCGATCTTCCTCCCAATCGATTCAATCTCGAGCCTTTGGTTTCCGATCTTCACATCTAATGAGTTAATTCCTAGCCATTAATTCGTGCAACTAGCTCGATTACTTTTGATATACTCATCCCATAATATTAATTATCAGGCGATAACTTAATATATTATTTGCTTTCAATTTGACATTGCAATTATAGACTACCAAAATATATACATTATGTAGTCTAATCAACGAAGCAATTACGCAATTAGGCATTCATATTATTTAAATATGATCCCATTAGGTCGAGCTAGCCAAGCAATGGCTCTACGCGTCACTAACGCTCAAGCCAAGAAGGTTGTGTACCCTTCGGATCTCCAATTTGCTGAGTTGACTGATCAATGGCTCTACGCGTCGCTAACACTCGAGCCAAAAGGGTTGTGTAACCTTCAGATCTCCAATTTGCCGAGTTGATCGATCAATGGCTCTACGCGTCGCTAATGCTCGAGCCAAAAGGGTTGGGTACCCTTCGGATCTCCAATTTGTCGAGTTGACCGATCAATGGCTCTACGCGTTGCTAACACTTAAGCCAAGAGGGTTGTGTACCCTCTTGGTCTCTAATTTGCCAAGCAGACCGAACAGTACATACCTTCCTGGTCCCCATCCGACCAAGCAACCCGAACTTTATGTGACACCCTATACACCAACATACATATATAATAATTATAAAAACTCTTATTGGGTTAAAAATATTTAGAATTAAAACAATGATTCCATTAACATGAGAGTAAAAAATTCACATTCATCAACTTAAAACATGGTCAAATGCGGAAAAATGAAACATGAGTTTTTCCAAAACAAAATACAATAATGAAATCCTAACTACGCCTAGCTATGTCCCGATGTCACATATCCTATCAAAGCATGCCCAACTGAAGCCTAAGTCTCTTCACCAACATCCTCATGCTGATGATCACCTACAACACAATTTAAACACATTCAAAGAACAATAAGGGAGTGAGAAATATCTCACTCGGTTCCAGGTGTAGAAATAACAGTTAGGCAACACACACACAAATCATACACGCGAAGCCATAGCTACTCATTAATCAGGTGCAAATTCAAATTTCACATATAATAGTAACACATACACAGTCATTCATCATGCAATGATGTCATGGACTTGACTCATACATGCATGCATGTGGCACCAGTCACGTGTCTCATAATCATATATCACTCGGGTGCTGCCTAAACAACACACCTAGGGTAGTCTAGGAGTACATGTAAGGAGCTACCCATACACTCTCAACTAGAAGGATGTACTGCTAGGGTCTAGTCGGGATAATGAAGCTGCGCAAGTTACGTCTCGTGTTCACAAATGGGCAGAATCGAGACATCCAAACCGCATTATCCCCTAAGACTCCCCCAAGCTGTTACACAAGGAGGGCCTTCCCTAACGGTGTACTCCTCATCGTACCCTTCACATAGATTCATATGATGCATGTCACACATTCACAAACTCATGGACTCATCACTTTACTTGTCATGGTATTTCATGTCTTATCTCATTTCATCACGTTTCACATTCTCATAGTCATAGTGCTTACAATAGCACGTCATTCACATCATGTCTCATGTCATTTGTTCATATTTAACATAGTCATACTCATAAGATTATCATTTGGAGATTCTTATCATCATCATGTCATATTCACTTTTCACATTGTCTCATAATCATATTCATAATTGTTCCTCATAGGGTTTCACACAAGAACTCACAAAATACTCTAATTCATATCAAAACATGTTCAAATTCAAAATTAAATATACACTCATGCTCAACATTTAGCAAGAAACACAATAGAATAATCTAAACAAGGAACCCATAGAGCACTCTAATTCATATCAAAACATATTTATTCTCAAAATTAATCACATATTCACACATCACATCCAACAAGGAACACAATAGAATAATCAGAAGGAAAAATAGAAAACATTCATATTTTTCCTATTCCTAGAAGCATGCATCAGGCAAGGAATTGGGGGTCAATCTTGCTACCCAACAATTATTCCCACACCCTCAGGCGAGGTTTCTCACTCCCCCCTTACCTGGATAAGTAGGAGATGAAACTAAAGCAGGATCTTGCTGGTCTCTTCCTCTGGGTTTCCCTTAGTCTTTAGAGAATGTAGAAGAAAAAGAAGTCAAAAGTAAAAAATGTGCTTTTGGTAGTGCCAAAGTGTGCTATTTATAGACTTCAGGAGTGGCCAAAACGGCCTATTTTGAATCTGGAACGGCCCGTTCTAGACTCATTCGACATGTGTAAAATTCACATATAGAATTGTCCGTTCTTAAACCAAAATGGCCTATTCTGGGATTGAGTTTTAACACATAACGACTATGTTTGGGACGGCCCATTCTTAAACCAGAACAGCCCGTTCCCAACTAGGGTTATAGGCTATTTTAGTAGTTTGGAATGACCTGTTCTAGTTTGGGAACGGTCCTTTCTGGGCTACTAAATATCAAAAATAATTTCTAAAATACTTTAATATAATTTATGAAAAATCGGGGTGTTACACTTTAGGCTAGTTATCGGTGTATTGACAAGTGAGCTCTGGTAAAATGCATCAAGGTTGTTATTCCCGTGATTCTTGCGTAGGTTTGATTACGATTATAAATGTGGTTCATAGGCTCATTACAAAAGGGGATCCACGCACATTTAAGGGGATGAGGATCAAAGATCCTTATCACGTATATGAGACCCATATAAATAAGGAGAAAAGGGACTGGTGAAAGGCAGGTTCTTCTCATTCTTAAATGTTCTAAGTCAAGACAACGGTTAGGTTCTCTTAAGGTTCATATCACTAAGGGTCCTCTAGTTGTTATCCTCTTACTAGAACAGATACCAAACATGAAAAATCAATATTTTTGATCTAAAATTCCCAAGAAGTTAGAAGCTTGTCCCCTGTTAAACATCCCTTTAGCGAGACATTTTCTCAATCATGGTTGTTTTATTTATAAAACTCAAACCTAAAATTTGAATGAGACCTCTGTCAATTAATTAATTACATAATTTATTAATACTTACAGGAAAATGCAAGATAGAAAATTGTTGATTTTTAATATTTTAGTACATGTATTGTAGAAGTTTTTTTTAATCCATAAGAATTACAAATTTATAATAACAGCGACAGTATTCAAATTTATGGTCCTGTACATATTATCTCAATTCCTAGACCAACATTAGCGGTTAATACAAACTAAATTTTCATTATAGACTTTAATATAATGTTCGTCCTTGTAATTTAACATCTCAAAAGCAATAAAGTTAATAATGTTAGCAAACTTAGAGTCAAAACGTTAGCACTAGAAAAAAAAACATATAACACTCTTATCCCTTAATCTCTATTGAGAGATTTGTTCTTATATGTCAAAAAAATCTTACTTCATTTAAGAGTCAAGGTCAATAATTGTTTATAAACAATCTCATCCCTTAACATATGGATATGTCATTTGAAGAAGAAAATCATGACAACCCAACAAATATTAGAATGAATAATATCTCAAAAATAATGTCTTTAATAATGTTAGTAAACTTATGATTATAACATTATAAATATATTTAATTAAAATAACAATAAAATGTTGATGTTCATAAATCTTTAAAATATATATATATATAACACTAATAATAAGTATAAAAAAATACTAAACTAATAGTATAATCTACCAAACCAAAAAAAAAAATACTATATTATTAAAAAAATGTTATAATAATAACTTAAAATCTAAAATAATAGAAAAATAATATTAAAATAATAAAGTAAACATAATAAAATAAGAGGTCGGTGCTTAAGCAAGGTCAGGGGTTCGAATCCTGCCTTGTGTATGCAGCTGCATTAAATCTTAGGGTCAGTTATCCCACCCTTTGAGGTGCCTACAATGCAGTGAGAAGATTAGTCACTACTATCGACGGTGAATATTCCAAGCACAAACAAAAAAAAAATAAAAATAAGAGGTCGGTAATTTATTGTCCATTGATCTCTCATTTTATTGAAATTACAGCGACATTCTAATGTCCTGCTTTTGCTACTTGTGTAAAAAAATTGAATTGTTAATTATTATTATTATTATTATTATTATTATATATAACACCTAAGGCATTATATTAACTCCTTAATTATTTAAAAGATATCACATAGAGACTTTAAAAGGGAAGTTAATATAAATGTTAAAAAAAAATGTCAATACAATTTCACAAAATTTTAGAGATATCGAATAATCCATCCTATTTTATATTGCTCTATCTTATAGAAATAAATATTTGTGTAATGTCCAATTATTTATTTTTTAGAATTTAATTTATGTATCTAATCGGTCGAAAATAATTTTACACAGACATTTAATAATAATATTTTGAGTTCTCTAAAGGAATATACCTTAGAAAAATAAAGTACACTCACTTGATTAAAATAATCGATGGTTAAAAATTACGATAAAATCAAATGAACGTAAATTTCTAATTAATGGCTTAATAAATGGAACTGTGAGTTTGTGGTAAAACCTGTTACTGAACTAGGAAAAGATTTGTTGTAACTTGGCACATGTGTGGACCACAAAGATAGAGTAGGTATTGAAATTGTTGTTTCTTATCACTTTCTTCAAAGCAAGAGTACAGAACCCAGTTGAGTTGCAACTAATGGCTATGAATGGAACTTCTCTTTTGGTGCCTTCTGTTCAGGAGTTAGCAAAACAACCCATCATTCAAGTTCCAGAAAGATATGTTCATCCAAATCAAGATCCAACCATTGTATCCAACACAGCATCTTTGCCACAAGTTCCTGTCATAGACTTGCATAAATTGTTGTCTCAAGATGCAACTGAGTTAGAGAAGCTGGACCAGGCATGCAAACAATGGGGTTTCTTTCAGGTTTGGATTATTCCCCTCTTGCAATTTATCATATTTTTCATTAAGTGTAAAAAGAAACCAAAGTCAAATTTAATTTTAAATGTCTATGCCTGTAATTTCGATGAGTTGACCGAGTAATTAGTCACAGTGTTTTCACACATTGAACGGTTGAAGGATGATCTATTTAATAGAAATCTTTATTTCAATTCCTGTCATGTACGAAAATATTGAGTTAGCAAAAGTCACAATACTGCAAACAGTATTAGTATCTATTCCGAGTTGGGAGATACTAGATGGGACAAAAGGAAAACACTTCTCTTGGTCATTTTTTTTTTCCTTTTGGTGGTTTTTTTTGTTAGTCAATTCTGAATAGTAAGATCAATAAAATCAAATAACACTCGATGGAACTCTATATAAGAATGTTCTATCATGAAAATGACAATGTCAATATTACATGATTATGAGTAATTTATGTTAAGGTTTAAACTTGCTTTAGTAGTTACAATATTTGCAGTTATTGAGTTATGACCTCAAACCATGCAATTTGTAAAAAGAATTCGTGGCTGATAATTAAATTGGATAAAGTCGTAAATGATTTTAAATTGTAGTTGAATCAGGCCACACTTTTTTTTGGGGGAGTGGTGTACTTCAATAGTATTCTAGGTAACCAATAACAGCATAACATGTAACAAAGAAATGGAGCAACTAATTTTATCAGAAGATATGTGAAAATTATCAAGCGTGTCTCAACTTGGCTGGTAATGTTTCAACTTAATTAATAGTCTTAAAATTGAGTTTTGAATTTATAAATGCGTTAAATATTGAAGACAAAAGTTTTGCCGTTTATAATGATACTGGAATCTCGAACAGGATTACTTTTTTCTGGAGGATGCATGTGCCAGAAAAGATATGTGAAAATTGAATCTGTATATTAACTTTATAGCCAACAGTTTTGTTTTCACATTCATGATGAGTCAAGAAATGATGCATTCGTGTAATTTTATTTGCTTTACACAATTTTTGATCCGGAAAAGAACTACAGCTTATAAACCATGGAGTGGACCCTTCAGTGGTGGAAAATATGAAGATAGGTGTTCAACAATTCTTCAACCTTCCAATGGAAGAGAAGCAGAAGTTTTGGCAAACACCAGAGGATATGCAGGGGTTTGGTCAGTTATTTGTTTTATCAGAGGAACAAAAGCTAGAATGGGCAGACATGTTCTATGTTCACACATTTCCATTACAAGCAAGGAATCCCCACCTAATACCTTGTATTCCCCAACCATTCAGGTTGTCCACCTCTTTCCTATGTTTTTCTTTTTTATCCATGAGAATCGAACTTAGTATTAAAGAGTTTACAACACTCACTACTCAATCAACTGAATGAAACTCCATTAGTTTTTTGTGTTAAGTACAACATCATTGACTTATTTTGTTGGTACTTGATGGCTGAGAGACATTATGTTTAATTGCAGAGATAATCTAGATAATTATTGTTTAGAGCTGAAAAAAATGTGCATCACAGTCATTGGCCTTTTGACAAAAGCTCTTAAGATCAAAACCAATGAACTTTCAGAGTTATTTGAAGATCCACACCAAGGAATGAGGATGAATTACTACCCTCCATGTCCCCAACCTGAACGAGTCATTGGAATCAATCCACATTCTGATTCTGGTGCCCTTACCATCCTTCTTCAAGTCAATGAAGTGGAAGGCCTTCAAATAAGAAAAGATGAAAAGTGGATTCCTGTTAAACCCCTTCCTAATGCTTTTGTTATCAATGTTGGAGACTTGTTGGAGGTAACTAGCACAATCTCATTCACATGTATTTTTATCAGTTGGCATTCAAATCATCTTACAACAATGTAAGGATAAGAAAACCTAGAGTTCACAGTAGAGTTTATTTTTCATGCATTTTCAATGTAAAGATTTCTACACTAGCAATTACTTAGAAATTATCATATGCATGATTTTTAAGACATACTATAAAAGTCAATAAATTTATAATATATAACAATCTACAATTAGATGACAGTATAAAAAACCTTTATACTGTCAATGCATTCTAATTAAGTTATGAACATTTAAGCCTTTAAGAAATTTTAACGATATTGTAAATGCTTCCACAGATACTGACCAATGGAATTTATCGGAGTATTGAACACCGTGGAATAGTGAATTCAGAAAAGGAGAGGATTTCCATTGCCACATTTCACAGACCTCAAATGAATAGAATTATAGGTCCAGTACCAAGCCTTGTTACTCCGGAAAGACCTGCATTGTTCGAAAGGATTGGAGTAGCAGAATACCTCAATGGATTCCTTAAACGTGAGCTACAAGGGAAATCATACATGGATCTCATTAGGATCCAAAACGAGATTGGTAAATAATTTTTGTTCATAGGAGGACTAAGCTTGAAATGGAATGATAGAACAAATGCACTGATCAATAATGTCACAAGTGGTAGCCAAAGTGCAACAATTGTAGCAGTAAAAATTGAATCGTTGTTATGGCATAAAGATGAACATATGTTTACCTTGAAAGCATGGTTCTAAATTGTCATTGCAGTTATGGTCTTTGTGGTTATAGACATTGTGACTATTGTGATGCAAATTACGGCTGTAGCAGGATGAAATTGTTATATGTTTGCATCAAACAATAAAAAAGAATTTTATAATAATAAAACCAGTTGAACCTTTCTTTTATAATTTTTCACTCTACACTTCCTTTCTCCTTGGCTAAAGATGTTTGGACTTGGGCTGTTGGACAAGGAGGTTTGATGTGCAGCCTTTGGTTTAACTGTACCAATAAGTATATGGTAGTATGGTACAAAAGATCTGTTTGAATACAAGATAAAAGTGTTTTTGAGAGTTTACTTATTATAGTAAAGAGTTATTTTCAGTAAAAATAAATAAATTCGACAGTACTTTTAAATTCCAAGTAGACTCAAAATGAATGGGACCGAGAATTTACACATGTTCATATTTAATATTAAGCACATTTCCTTGCTTATGCCTCAAAGGAAAACAATGTCCTATTAATTTGAAATACAAACAAGTTTCATTTGAATTCGACATTGAAAGAGACAGAATAGTGAGAGAAATACTAGTAAAATTTCTTTGAAATCATCTTATAAGCTTTAACTGTCATACATTCTTAAGTATCTAATTGTTAGTGTTTTCATTTAGAAAGTGTTGTGCATCGAGGGGGTTACCCCACTCATATATACATGTCTTCACATTGGTGAGATATTGTCCGTTTTGGGCCCAAGTCCTCATGGTTTTACTTTTGGACATCATCCAAAAGGCTTCTAAACCAATGGAGACAGTTGTGTGTATATAAACCCATGTACAAGCACCGCCTGTCCTAACCCTCCAATGTTAGGAGGTAGCCTCTCTTTCACATGGACTCATCGTTAGGAAGGCTTTCGACATAAGGAATCTCAAACTTGGATCCACCTCTCGTCGAGCTGGTCACCTGATCAGACCATCGACTCTGATACCACTTGTTGTGCACTAGGGGGGTTACCACACATATAAGTCAAAACCTAGAGAAGATTGAGTCAAAGACTGTGTGTTCTCCTGTTGGAAAATTCTCATATAAATACAAAGTAATTACAATTTGTTAAGCTGATTTTCAGCCCACTAAATAAGCTAAACTGCCATATATACATTTACTATGGCTAATTATCCTAAATTCCTAATTAAGAGAATAATCGTTACAAATAAATATATAATTGCATATCTTTTGCATTCATTCTGTTGACATCCCCCCTCAAATTGATGCTGGTGAATCTACAAGCATCAATTTGCCAAGTAGAAAATTGTGACGTTGGCGTGGCAACGTTTTAGTGAAAATGTCAGCGATTTGAATAGATGTTGAAACATGTGGTAGATTGATGACTCTACGATCATACGCATCTCGAATAGAGTGACAATCGACCTCGATGTGTTTCGTCCGTTCATGGTAAACCGGATTTGCTGCAATCTGTATGGCACTGGTGTTATCAACATGCAGTGGAGTGGGTTGTGCTTGAGACAATCCAAGCTCTGTAAGAAGACCACGTAGCCATATTATTTCAGAACAAGCAACAGACATTGCGCGATATTCTGCTTCAGTGGATGACTTTGATACTGAATCTTGTTTCTTACATTTCCATGAAATAGGAGCATTCCCAAGGAACATACACCAGCCAATAGTTGATCTCCTAGTGTCTGGACAGCCAGCATCACTATATGCTTGGAGTTGAAGAGATGAAATTTTAGGAAAGAATAAACCACTCCTTGAGGTGCCAAGGAGATATTTAATGATACGTTGTACTGCTGAAAAATGGAAGTGTCGTGGAGATTGCATGAACTTACTAACGGTGTGTACAGCAAAAGAAATATCTGGGCGAGTGATAGTCACATAGATGAGGCTACCAACTAGTTTTCGATATTGAGTGGGATCATCAAGAAGCTCTCCTTCATGTCTTCTATATTTAACATTAACTTCCATTGGAGTGTCAATAAGGGTAGCATTTGTGAGTCCAGCTAGCTGGACTAAATCTTGAATATATTTGTGCTGATTTATGAAAATGCCTTTAGGATGGTAATGCACCTCTAAACCCAAGAAATAATTGAGATGACCTAACTCTTTCATGTGAAAAGTTGAATGCAGCATTTGTTGGGTTTTAGAAATAGCATCTGGATCAGAGCCAGTGACCACAATGTCATCCACATAAACAAGAAGGACGACGATGCCTTTAGGAGTCCTTTGGAGGAAAAGTGATGGATCATACTGACTTTGAGTGAATGAAAAACTAAGTAGAGTGGAGCGAAATTTCTCAAACCATACTCTAGGGGTATGCTTCAATCCATATAGAGAGCGTTTCAATTTGCAAACATTAGGCGGGGAGAGAGTCAACATACCACCAGGAAGTGTGATGTAAATGTCCTCCTTAAGGTCACCGTGGAGGAAAGCATTTTTTACATCCATTTGATGTAGTGGCCAAGATTTGGATGCAGCAAGAGCAAGGATAGTACGTACAGTGGTCATCTTGGCAACTGGAGCAAAAGTCTCATCATAGTCTAGGCCATACTCTTGATTATTTCCAAGCACAACTAGTCGCGCCTTGTGACGGTCGATGGATCCATCCGAACGCAGCTTGATAGAGAACACAAACTTGCTGCCTAAAGGCTTAACAGATGGGGGACATGGCACTATATCCCATGTCTGATTTTCTTCCAAGGCGAGAAGTTCACTTGCAATAGCTTTTTGCCAACATTCATTCTGCATTGCCTGTTTATAAGAAGAAGGAATAGGAATAGATGATAAAGTTGCTGTCATGGAACTAATATACCTTTCTGGGGGCTTACGAATGCGTGAACTGCGTCGTGAAGGAGTTGGTTCTGGTGCTGAAGCTTGTACTGGATCAATAGCCAAGGAATTATCTGGAAGGGGCCCATGGGATTCTGCTGGTTGATATTGAGAGGTAGTTTTTTTTCTTTGATAGGTCAAGAGAGGTCTAGATGATGAAGGACCGGTAGAAGAATTAGAAAACAATGCCAAAACAGAAATTGGAGAAGAGAACGAGTCATGATATTTTGCAAAAAAATATACATTTTCTAGAAAAATGACATTTCGAGAGACTTGAATCCGATGAAGTTTAGGATCATAACATAGAAATCCCTTTTGATGAGGAGAATAGCCAAGAAAAACACATTCAACAGATTGTGCAGTGAGTTTTGTGCGTTCTTGTGGAGGAAGATAGACATAACTTGCACAACCGAAGATACGAAGAGTGGAGTAATCGGGTGGGTGACCAAATAATCAAGTGAAAGGGGATTCATTACTTATGGAAGGAGATGGAAATCTGTTTATAAGATGAACTGCAGTGGAAAGGGCTTCACACCAAAAACGTGATGGGACATGCGACTCCAGCAAAAGAGTGCGAACAACATCTAGCAAATGGCGATTTTTTTGTTCAGCTACCCCATTTTGTTGGGGGGTTGATGGGCATGATCGTTGAGATAAAATGCCATTGGTTTGCAAGAATTCCTTAAATAAGTGTGAGGTGTATTCCCCCCATTATCAGAGCGAACAATCTTGATTTTGGAGGAGAATTGGGCCTGAACATAAGCATAAAAAAATTTGAAAGTAGCAAAGACTTCATCTTTTGAACGCAGAAAATAGACCCAAGTGAAACGACTATAATCATCAATAAAAGTTACAAAATACTTGTAATAAGCATGAGATATAACTGGTGCTATCCCCCAAACATCACTATGGATGATATCAAATGGTTGGGTGACATGCGACTGATGTGTTGGAAAAGGTAAAATTTTACTTTTTCCAAGCTTACAAGGAATGCAATCAAAATAAATATCATTAAGAGATGGGGTGTGTTTATTTCCAAGAAAACTAGACTTGAGCATGTCATGGAGTACATTGGAGTTGGGATGCCCAAGACGCCTATGCCATACTTGATAATCAACAATAGCAGAATTACAAGAGACTAAAGGTAAAGAAAGACTTGGAGACAGCAAGAAATGGATGGGAAAAAGACGTCCAACTTTAGGCCCCTTCGCGATTATCGTCCGCGAGTGTTGATCCTGCACAAGACAACCAGACTGTGAGAATTGAACTCGACAATCATTGTCGACTAATTGACCAACAGAAATGAGATTACTGGTGAGACCAGGAGCGACAAAGACATTTGTTAGAGATGAAGAAATATCACCAGTTGCTGTTATAGGCAATTGATTTCCACCAGCAGTATGTATGTTGAGATTCCCCAAATATTTTTTTATATTAGTAAGGAATCGAGTATTGTTGGTCATGTGGTTGGAAGCCCCAGAATCAAAATACCACGGTGAAGAGCATTTACCTGAGAATCCCAAAGCAGAAAATGCTAAAATGATCATTTGTTGAACCATTTCAGGAGTCAAAGTTGGAACAGTAGTAGTAGCATGTTGTGGGACAGGTGTTGGATTGGCAGAACTGTTGGGAATAGAAGAATCAATGGTGGTTGTAAAAGCTGTTGCAGTTCGCCTTGGTGGCCTTATTGGGCATTCCTTAATAATATGTCCATGCTTTTTGCAGTAGTTATAGAATTTTTTTGGACAGGAGGAAGCATAGTGTCCAAATCGCTTGCAACTAAAACATTGAATAGCACCCATGTCATGGCGTCGTGACTTCCCTTGTGCCATGTATGCTACGGGAACAGTAGACAATCTCTGTTCTTCAATGATGGATTGTGTAAGAAGACGTTGTTCTTCATGTAACAAATCGTTGAGGCACGCATCCAACGATGGTACAGGATCTCTATGCATGAGATGGGACCGGATGCCTTCAAAGTCAGATCACAATTTCATAAGAAATTGGTCACGTTTAGTAGTTTCATGAATTGTTTGTACGGAACTTAGACCTTCAGAAGTCAAGTTTGCATAAACTATATCAGTGTATTCAGCCCAAAGATTCATGAATTGAGAGTAAAAATCAGAGATGGAGAGACTATCCTGTTTAAAATTAGCTATGTCGTGCTCAAGCTAGAAACGACGAGCGGCATTATTTTGACTATAAATTTTCTTCAAGTAAGACCACATTG